ACCCCTCCCCCCCCAAAAAGGTCAAAAATCACTATAAGTCATTCATATCTCAACATATATTTTTTCAGTTAGTTCCATTTCAAAATACTCTACACAAGAACTCTATGCTGACCTAAAACAAATTTGTAGTATCTATACTTTCCCTTCACACATCAGCTGTCTCGAGGTCTTTATCAAAACCACAAAGGTAACAACCTGAAATTGTGAAACAATACTCAACAGACAGCTCCCACAGAGGCCCCACACAGGGCTCTGCAGCACTGCACGTGGCCCTGTGTGCTCGCACAACAACGCAGTCCACAACTGTACTGAGAGATTTTCATCAGAACACAACTGAGGAGAATTCAAAAGCAGAAACAAAACCACCTTTTTTTTTTTCAAGCTCACACTACTAGAATTCAATGAAACCCTGCCTTTCAGAATTCTAGATACAGAAATATATTACCAAGAATTGTTTATAATCTATTCCATAGAAATTTCAAAGGACACAAGGTGTTTGTCATTTCTCATAAAACTTCATCTCAAGAAAACTGTGGTGAAATGCAATATGTATGACTTTGTCACTTAGTGTCAGCCTAATAAAAGAAACACAATAACCACCTCACTAAGGTTAAAGCTTACAACAGACATAGGAGCTGAGTCAAAATAACCTTTTCATAATTTCATCTTTGGCAATACACAGAAGTTGGTTAGCTAGATATTTTTAAACAACCCCATTATCAAGCTTTACTCTGTGCCTGTATGTGTGAGAACACAAAATCAAAAACCTGGTGGGAAGCTGATCCGGAGCGCACCCAGCAGTGCTCCGGGCTTACTCCTGACTCAGTGCTCAGGGAACCAAATGCAGGGTTGGGGATAAATCCCAGGCAAGCACCTTGCCCCCTGAACTATCTATCTTTCCAGCCCATGACCAGATTTCAAAATTTCTAGAATACACACAGAAGATGACACACATTCAGTGTGATCCCTTATACAATCTCTGTGGCCTGTGCTCTACAAAGATTTGGACGATCAAAGAGCTTGTTCTCAGTACTCTCAGAGAAGTATAGGCAAGTCGCGAACCCAGAAGCCACATCGTCACTTACAAGCAAGGACGCACAACAGGAATTCCCAATCTGGAGGCAGGCCTCAGGTGTGACGTGCTTTGGAAAAACATGGAAATACAGGGAAAACTATCTACCCATTTCTAGACATTGTTGTAGACAACCAGAGAAAATTCCATCAAATACACTGCCAGGAAGAGTGGCATTTATTTTGGCACTAATCTTCTTTCCAGCAACGTAAGATTATGATTTGTATCCGTGCATAAAACTTACTTGGGGGTGGAGGGTGAGAGCACCCCCAGCAGTGCTCAGGCTTGCTTCTGGTTCTGTGCCCAGGAGTGACGCTGGGCAGTACTCAGGGGCCATCTGGGGTGCCCAGGGCTCAGCTCTGGAGCAGTGGCCTGGGAGGCAGCATCCTAACCTCACCCCTGTTGTACGCCTCTGGCCTCCAGTGCAGAAACTGTTCAGAACTGAAGAGCTCACCTCAAACAAAAACCACTGCCTGGAGACTGAGGGGTCAGAGGAAACCTGTGAAACTGCCACTCTGAGGTGGAGGGGTGGGGGTGGGGCAGGGGAGGGCAGTGGAGAGGGTACTGCTCATATGGCCAGGGCCACTCCTGAGATATGTCTCGGCCAGGCACATTTGGCGCTCAGCCCAGCGATGCAGCCCACCGAGCTGCCGTGGGCAGAGAATGCAATCTCCTGCATGCAAGGCTCCGAGCAGCCAAGACCAGGCCCAGAATGCGCGCAGGGACCTGCAAACCCACAGTCCTGACTAAGCCTTGGGATCTTCGCACCCTGAAAGGTTGCCTAAGTCACCCACAAATCTCCCCTCTCAAACAAACGCTCTCAGAGTAATTTTAAAACATAATATGGTTAACATAAAGGTAAAGGCCCTCCCGTTGATCGTCGATTTGCTCGAGCGGGCCCAGTAACGTCTCCATTGGAGACTTTGTTGTTACTGTGTCTGGCATATCGAATACTCTCGGTAGCTTGCCGGGCTCTATAATTCATGGACAAGGTCGGCACATGCTTAATGAAATACTAGAAGTTGAAAAATATTGAAAATCTGTATTTTCATCTAGGGAAGATTGGTACAGGAGGACTTCTCTTTCCCCATACTTCTTTAAACATTATTTCATACATTTGACATCCTATTCCTAAAAAAAGAAATGAGAGAGAGTAAAGTCTAATTTAAATTTTTAAATATAAGAGAAATAAATAGCAGACTAAACGGGAAGTCAGAAATTACTCAGTTCAACTTCCAATGCAATGTATGTGACCCTGGGTTTGATTTGGGGCACTAGAAAAGGAACAGAGGGGAGGGGAGGGGAGGGGAGAGGGGCATGTAGAGATAACAATTTTATTTTATGGAGCAAAAATTAAATTTTAAAATAGATTTAGGTCTAAGGTAGACTAAAATTGGAAAGGTTTGTTTGTCTGTGCTGAGCCACACCTGGCAGAGCTCAGGGTTTGCTCCTGGCTTTGCATTCAAGGACCACTCCTGGCAGTGCTCAGGGAACCATACTGGAGATCGAACTCAGGTCAGCTGCATAAAAAGCATGTGCCCTACCCGCTGTACTAGGTTTAGAAAAGTGTTTTATATACAGAAGGAAAATAAAACTGCTGCAGAGGTTGGCACAGAAGAAATGAACTTCAGTAAGTAATCGAAGAAAAACGAAGAAGAAAGCTATGTGAAGCAAAACCACACAGAAATTCCTGAAAACAAACAAGGAATGAGATGCTACTGGAATAGAGATGTACAGAGAAGAAAAGTATTTGGGGAGGGAAAAAAGGGAGAAACAAAAAAAATTCAAGGGATTGGGAGGTGAGAAGACATTTAAAATTACCAAATGAATGTGATAACCTTGGGGGATTTTTTGTAAAATATTACTACTTTCTAACAGAAATTAAAGTGCTAATTATAGGAAGACTATATTCTAAACTAAGACTATATTCAAAAACTAAGAAATCAGACTTGATTATAATTTTGAAATTTTACATGAATATAGGCTGTTGTAAGTTTTAACCAGTTTTAACTAGATGTTGTCTATAATTATACTTAACATCTATATAAAAAATATACTTAACATCTATAAAAAAATAAAGATTTTACTACACTTTCTGCTTCAAAATATGGAACAAAAACTTGAAAAGAACCACTACACAAGGGTTACTGAAATAAATGACTTGTTCCACTTCTACAGTGCATTCCCCTTTGCAAAGTCTCAGAATGTAGGAGACAGTTATACTGATCACGTAAAAGACATAAAGCAAAGAAAACAGATCTGATTAGCCCTTCAAACACAATGCCGAAAACTAATGCACTGACCTTGTAAAACTAAAATCAGACACAGGGCCAAGGAGAGGTCTGGCCGGCGGGAGCCCAGGCTCTGCCGACACCAGCAGGGCTGATCCGGAACCACCTGGTCTCCCAAGCACTGGCCTGAAGAAGCACCCGCACACCCTGGGCATAACCTACACCCCTGGGAGTGGACCCCTCTCCTCCCCCTCCAAAAAAAAGCATCTGATGCACTACTTAATAGATCTCCAAGAACGCAGACTATAAAAGAGAACTATGAACTGTACCAAAGCCTTGAGTATTCTTCAAGGACTATTATGGGTTGTGGAGAAGCAAAACAAATGGGTAGCGAAGACACAGATAAAATGAAAAGAATTCGACCAGCAGTCATCGTGTTAGAATTATGAAACAGAATTCTAACAAGGGGTTCTAACAAGGGCCAAGGAGGCAACCCATGGATCAGGGGCGGGCCTGCTATGGAGCCCGCCTGGTTCAATCCCGGGCACCACATGGTTCCGAGTCCTGCTAGGGTGGCCTGGTGATCCCCAGCACCCAGGGACTAAGCAGCCCCACAGCCATGGGCTCTCACAGTGAACTGCCAGCCGACTAGCAGAGAACACAGGGAAGGCAGACAGGAAAGCCATCATCATGCTGACACTGGTTTCTCAAGTGTTACTCTGTCCTAGGCCTATTCTAAATCAGAGGGTCCCAAACTAAGATAGCCCACCACCACCTTTCCAGCACTGCCCGGCTAACCCACCTTCACAGAGAGCACCCCAGTTTACCAAAGGCTACTAGTGCTGCCTGATCTGCGCCAGCACCCCCCAGCGGGTGGCACTGAACAATGCTCTAAAATATTCAAAACCAGGGACTGGAGCAATAGCACAGTGAGTAGGACGCTTGCCTTGCACACAGCCAACCCCGGGTTCAATCCCCGGCTCCTAATATGGTCCCCTGGGCAATGCTAGGAGTAATTCCTTAGTGCAGAGCCAGGAGTAACCTCTGAGCATTGTGAGGTGTGACCCAAAAAGCAAAAAAATACATAAAACAAATAAGTACTCAAAACCCAGGAATGTCGCAATTAAGCAGTTCCCTCAGGTTACACAGGTCACCTCTACCTGTATTACTCGAACAACAAACACAAATATGCCTCCACGTCTATCTGCCTCCTGGCAAATTACTGATGAACTAACAAGTCAGCAGCATGGTTTATTTATTTTTACTGGTGAAAACAGAATCAATCTCTTAGCTTAGAAATACAAATATGGAAATATGGAAAATGCAAGACAATCAAACTTCAGCTTTTGTTAACATAGTACAAATGAAAAACTAAAGAAATCTTGCTGTTGTTGATGCTGATTTAAAAATCCAACCCATGGGTACAACTACAAATGCCCACCTTCAAAACATCTTGAGTAAATAACATCCACATACTACAAACAAGTATTTGCATAACCTGAATTCTTTTTTCCAACTTCTAATGATTTACATGTTAAGAAAAATGAAGCAATTTTTTTTTCTCGGAAAAACAATGAAAAGCAGACGGCAAAATTTTCAGTATGGAATGCAAACCACAGAACACTTATCCAGAATGGGATTATTACTGAGGAAAACTCAGACACTGTTTAGTTTCATAACAAAATGCATTTACATACCAGCACAGAAAACCCCCGGGACTTCACTCCTGACGATTATGGTCCGGACTTTCTTATCAGATTTTAAAGCATCCACAGCTTTGGACAGCTAAAAGAAAACAGGGAGGAAAAAAAGAAAAAAGAGGAAAAAGTAATTTTCAGATTGCTGTCAACACTCTCTCTCAATATTAGAAGCAAATGGTTTTAATCTCTATACTCACCATTTTCATTAGATTTTTACTGATAGAATTTTTGGCATAAGCTCTGTTTAATCCAAGCACCACAATTCCTAGTTAAGGGAGGGAAAAAGCACAAGCACTTGAGTTAGTGTGATGTTACTGGACACACACGCTCCCCAACACACACACACACCAACATATACGTACACAACCAGACACACACACACAGACACACATGCGCACACACGCGTGCACGCGCACGCACACACACACACACACACACACACACACACACACACACACACACAGAGCAAGTTTGATCCTTATTTCCTTATTCTGCAGTTCACCTCTGACTCCAGAGCAGTATTGTCACAGGTCTATAAAATCAACCTGGGGCTTTCTATTCACTGCTTTTCTTGATCTTTTTCTGTATGACCCTTGCCCCCTTCTGCCCTCATTTCCATCATCTATCTACCCTCTTCCCCACCCCAGCTCCCCCACTCCTTAAAGTTGGCCCGAAATGGGCCTGCCTGCCTTGGTTCATTTTCACTGCGCCCTCGTATGATCCTGGGGCCAACCTGGAGCCATATGGCCCTCTGATAACGGATGTTGTTTTAGAGATCTTGGTGCCTTGTGTCCTCGCAGCTCAGCCCTTGGAAGTACAATCAGGGCCATCTGCCAGAGCTGCGTAAATGTTACCTCCCTATATTAGACCAATTAGAAGGAAGGCCACATGTAACAGTCAAAAATTCCCATCAAAGAACACGAATTCACACTGCAATCCCAAACAGAATAGCTAACAAGATCTCATCCTGAAACAAGTATTTCTCACAGGGTCAGCAGTTTCTCCACTTTATCAGATGCTGGAATCTCATTGTTACTTTCTGTCCTACTCTAGTTTTCTGGAATTTCCATCTCAGCTGTCTCTCCAGACTTCTGCCCACATGCTTCCCTGAGGGAAAGTTAGAAGTGCAGCAAGCAATCCATTCTACAAAAACAAAGCTCACTCCTTCTCCCACAGTTCACCTTCCCTCTCTCCTCACTTCAGTCTTCCTTCCATTCCAACTGATGCAGTCAAATCGCTTTTCTAAAAATAATTTGCATAAAGTTCACCGTTTTCAAATCCTTTATCTCTAAAACATCCGAGTCCAAAGACCTTCATTTGATATTCAAAATCCTTCCTATCCTGTACTCAACCCCCTTCTCCCCTGAAGAGCACAAGCAACGCTCACACACCACTAATGCCTATGGAAGGCAGGCATTATAGGCGTGTACAATCCTTACTTGAAATCAGGTTAAACTGAAGGCAGTTAAATGGACATCGGCCTTTTCTATACAAAATCCTGCATCTTCATATAGAAATTTTCTTAAGGAAAGTAAAAAGATGAACTGCAGGTCTTGGTAGAATAAAATTGTAAGAATTCCATGTAGGGGCTAGAGAAATAGTACAGTGGGGAAGGCACTGGCCTTGCACATAGCTGACCTGAGTTCAATCCTTGGCACTACACAGGGTACATCGAGTCCTGCCAAGAGAAATCCCTGCTGAGCACAGAGCCAGGAGTGAACCCTGAACACAGCCAGGTGTAACACAAAACACTGAAACTCTAAATGATCTCAGTATGGAGGAAATCATGACAGAGAACTGAAATCTAGGGCATATACTGGATTAAACAGATGAAAGACCTTGTCACCAAGATGGATGACAACAGCTGCCGCTGATAAAGCGTATGCCAGATGCCACCTGTACTCCTCACTGACCCAACAGAAGAAAAGCTAGAAAAAGCAGCAAGGGGGACAGGTCAGGGTTTGAATCCCAGAACTTCAGCCCCCCTCCCTGCCAAGGATCACAGGAATCGGGGGTGCTCAGAGACCTGGCGGACCCTCTAGACCAAGCAGCACCAACTGTATCACTCAGCCTGAGCACCAAATGGTGAACTGTCAGACCTCCAAAACAGGGAGCAACCAGGAGCGAATCCCAGATCACTGCAGCACTACTTAGGAGGCAAAAAAAAAAAAGAGAGAGAGAGAAGATAAATGAGAATAAACAGGGGGAGAGAGAGAGAGAGAGAGAGAGAGAAGGGAGAGAGGGAGGGAGGGAGGGGGGAAGGAAGGAAGGAAGTAAAGAAGGAAGGAAGGAGGGAGGGAGGGAGGGAGGGAGGGAAGGAAGGAAGGAAGGAAGGAAGGAAGGAAGGAAGGAAGGAAGGAAGGAAGCTGATCTAAAGTAAAGGAGAACCAAAAAATCAGAATGAGCAGAATGAGGGCCAGAATGGACAGTACAGCAGGGAGGGCACTTGCCTTGCACAGTGCTGATCCGGGTTTGATCCTGGGCATCCCATATCCCTCAAGGCTTCCAGGAGTGAGTTCTGAGCACAGAGCCAGGAGTAACCCCTGAGTTTCACTGGGTGTGCCCCCACACACAAAAAAATTAGCATGAATTGCACTTTAGCACTATTCTCCCACTGTTCATCGATTTGCTCAAGCAGGCCCAGTAACGTCTCCATTGTGAGATCTGTTGTTACTGTGTTTGACATATTGACTGTGTCACGGGGAGCTTGCCAGGCTTTGCTGTGCGGGCGAGATACTCTTGGTAGCTTGCCCGGCTCTCGGAAAGGAGCGGAGGAATTGAACCAGGGTCGGCCGCATGCAAGGCAAACGCCCTACCCGCTGTGCTATCGCTCCAGCCCTACATACTTAAGAACACATACAAAATAGTTCCTACTTAACACACATTAACATTTATTTTTCATAATAATGTATTTCTACCTCATCTTAGTAAATAAGTCTGGAGGTATAACTACTAGTACTCAACAGGCTTGTAGAATCTTCTCAAGCCCAAAAAATCAAATCAGAAAATGAAGTTTTAGTGATGGGTTCCCATTCAATACATAATCTTTTAAGTATATGAACAGTTTATTTTGAAGAAGTGGGGGGGGCTTGCCCCCCAGAGGTGGGATACTGCCAGCTCTGTGCTCAGGATGTCACTGCACTTAAAAGATAATTTAACCTCTGGGCAAACAGTTCAAATGATGATTAATATTTTATTAACACACGAGTTACTTCAGGTCATCTCTCTAGAGAAAGGCACTTTGAATGTGAGCCAGGGTCATTTGCAAAGTCTAGGACCAGTTTTTTTCCTGATAAGTCTTCCCCTCAATGTGGGTCTACAAAAGAGACAAAGGGATGGAGGAAAAAGATTTGAGCGGAGGAAAAGGATTTGATGTCCTGAATTTGGACTCCCTTCTCTACTACTTGTAGATAATATGACTACATCTGTTTCAGTTGCCATATCCTTAAGCAGCTATAATTACTGCCTCTTATTGAGCGTTTCATTGTTACAACAACCAAATGAGAGGATGGGCATCATGGCTCAGCAACAGTTAAGTTAATCTGAGCAATAAAAGCAGTTGCCAGCACGAATTGATAAAATAGAAATAAGGTGAGCTGGAGAGATAGTACACAGGGAAAACACTTGCCTTGCACACAGCCAACCCAAGTCTGATCCCCACCAGGAATGAGCACTGCCAGATGAGGCCCAGAAGCAAAACCGAAGCCCACCCTTCACTCCCATGAAAGACTGGACCTGGTGTCCATTCCCGTTCCAGCAATCTTGCTTCGTTTTCTCTCCTTTATCCCGCTGGGGATGATTTCCAGATCACATAAGCAATTAGCCTTTTTTTCCCCCTAAGTTTATGCCCTCAGCGACCACCCGGGTGTTTAGTACTCTGTGGACTATGTGGTTCCAGGGATCAAACCTGGCCCCACATGCAGAGTGTTTATTCTAGCCCTGTGAGCATCTCCCCTGTGCACCTTTTCTCCTCCCCAAAGTGTTTTTATGGTTACTGCTTAAGGACTTCAGAAAACAAAATTATTTAGTCCATGTTCCCACAGTCTTTTCCAGAAAACAGAAGCAAGTGTACTTCTTAGCTCATTCCACGAGACCAGGATCGAGGACCCTTTTACTCAAAAGAAAAGAAATCTCAATAATGGAAAACTAAAAGCCACCATGTCTCAAGAACACAGATGACAAACCCCAAAGGTGGCGGAGCGAAAGGACAGCAGCTAAGGTGCTCTCGTGCGTGAGGTGACTGAGGTTCAATCCCTGGCACTACATCAGGTCCACCATGCACTGCCAGGAGAAATTCCTGAGTGCAGAGCCAGGAATGTAACCCTGGAGCACTGCCCGGTGTGGCCCCAAAGGCAAAAAATATATGTAAAAATCTTTTAAAAAAAGAAAAAAATCCCCCCCCCAAAGAAAAACAAATCAAGACCAACAATTTCTAAGAAGAATCATCACCAGAACCAAATAGGGTTCCCTCCAAGAATACAAGGCTGATTCCTTACGCCAGCATCAATCCATGGCGCTGAAAGGCTAAACAAGAAAAATCGCATAACCATTCCAACAGGTGTGGAAAAAAGACATGACAAAATCCTACATGACTAAAAACAAAAACTTCTTCAACCTGGCAACAGGCATCTACAAACAGCCCAAATCTAACATCAGATTTAGTGTGTAACAACAAAAGACTGAATATTATCTACTCAAAATCAAGATTAAAACAGGAGGTCTGACTTTGATACTTTTTTTTTCTTTCTGGTTTTTGTGCCACACCCCATGGTGCTTACGGCTTACTGCCAGAGTGCTTGTGGGGTCCACTATATGGGATGCCAGGGTCAAACCCAGCTAGGCTACGTGCATCTGGTACTATCATGCAGTACTATAATGGTGACACTCTTCAAAACCAAAAACAAAGAAAAAGAACAAAACAAAAAGCTGGAGAATTCTCACTACTCATGGATTCTACTACAAAGCTACAATCAAAGAGAAAGGTAGGTACAAAGGCAGGCATGTAAATAAATGTGGGAGAATTAGGTCATTCTTTTGTTCTGCTTTGTTGTCTTGGAAGTGCTCAGAGGTCATCCCGGGTGGTGCTCAGAGGACAGTGCACTGCCAAATACCCACTCCTGGCCTCCTTCATGCAAAGTATGACACCAGCCAGGGAACTACTGGAAGGCTGCTCTTAAAAGAAAACAGGTATAAAACCCATGGAGCTTGGGTTAGGCAACAATTTTTGACATATGATCCAAAAGCACAACTAACAAAACTAATAAA